CGAAGAGGCTGACCAGAGTTCTGACGAGGAGGGTACGGAGTCAGGGAGCGAGACGGAGAGGGAGGTAGAGAGCGAGAAAGGGGCCAGTGAAGATGAGGAGTCTGAAGAAGAGACTGATGAGAGTGAAAGCGACTCCGAGTCGGAGTCAGAAGAGCCGGTGAGGAAGAAGGCGAAGACAGCTTCGCAGACGAGCGAGGAGGCTCATGAGAGCTCTGACGAGAGTGAAAGCGACTCCGACTCAGAGGCAGAAGAGCCGGTGAGGAAGAAGATGAAGGCGGTCACGCAGACGAGCGATGATGAGATGCAGTCAGAGACAAGGAGCGAGTCTACCGCCCCGAGCGTCGGACAGTGAACTAGAGGCACGGCGTAGCGGTTTGCAAGGCTGAACGTCAAGGCAAGGCTGGAGACTCCGCTCAGGAATACCATCCAGTCACGGATATGGTTTCAGGCTCTGGCTCATCTGCCTATCTCAAGCGGCGGAGGGCCTTCACCAGACAGACGCAATTACTAGAACAGTGGAAACAACATATTCATCATCGCAAGCCCGATTGGGGCCATCAGCTATCAAGCTACATAATCCATCCCAAACACCTAACGTCCATCATCACCCCTATTCCCTCCCAACGCCCGCCCGAACAACAAGCACACTCCCCCGTCCCCGCTCAACAACCTCCCTCCCCACAACCCCAAGACACCTACCAGCACTCCGCCCGCCCACCTCCCGCCCAAACCCTCCCTCCAATCCCGCATTCCTCCCCACAACAACCAGATCCCCGGCTCCTCTACCCGCACCCTTCCCAATCTCAGCCTCCACCCGCTCCAGCACCCGCGCCACGGGCATGCCCTCCGCCTGCACCGTGTCGAACACAACGCGCGCGGCGAGGTCAGTCGGCAAGCTCGCAGCCAGTGTGCTGAAGAACGCAGCGTCCGCCTCTTCCGCATCCCCACCCACCACACCCGAACCCACAAGCGCAGGCACAGCAGGGAAAACAGGCGTCCGGGGCGTCCCCCCCTCCACGCCCCGCGCAAAATACCCCCCCTTAACCACAAATCTTACCACAGACACCGTAACCCACGCACTCGCCGCAACCTGCAGCGCGACGCGAACCGCAGCCCGATCATCCGGTCCCCCAAAATAGCAGACCAGGACATGGTGTCCCCGCCTCAGGACCGCAGGCCGCTGCTCCGCCTGCCCAGCCATGGATACAATACTCCGCACGCTGCGGCTGCGCGCGAGCGCACCTCGAGCTGGGCCAGGGCCGCCAAAGCCGCGATCTAGCAGCACGGCGACGGTGCAGGTGGTGCGGGTGAGCGCTTCGGACACGAAGCCCTCGTAGCGCGGGTCGAGAGGGGATGGGGATGCGCGGACTGGACTTGTAAGCCCGACGTCCGGGAGCGAGCCCGTCACGGGCCAGGGGAGGAGGAGCATATCCGCGGCCGTAGTCTCCGCGCGCGAAGCCAGGGCGTCAGCGAAGGCGTCTTCGGGGAGGATGGCGACTTCGCCGCTCGCAGAGAGGGCGTGCATAGCGCAGACGGTGCGGAAAGTTCCGACCAAGGGATCATTGGCAGTGTACTCGTCTGACTCTGAGACCTGCATGACGGACGAGTTGCGCTCCGTCAACTCGAGGAGGCGCACGCCGTGCGCGGCGATGGGGCGGAACGGGGGCTTAGATGGCGAGCCCGGGGTATCGGGCTCAACGGCGGGAGCGCGCGACGGGTGCACCACGTCTGAAGCCGGGGGCGGCGTACCGCCTAGAAGAGCCATGAATGCCAGCAGCGGGGGCATGTTGTCGAGGCGCAGATATACAAGCACGCGGCGTAGCTGGGCGGAAGCGACTTTCTCGTAGGCGAGGCTGTCGCGTGGTGCGGAGGTGCTGGCGGCTTCGTCGGCTGTGAGAGGCTTATCCGTGTCCCAGTCTATTTCGCCACGCTTCCAGGCTTCGACTTTGCGCCGGTAGGAGGGCGGGTAGAGCGCTGAGGTGAGGGGTGTGGTGGCGAAAGTGGTTACCAGCGCCATGACGACGAACATGGTGAAGGTGCGGGGGGAGAGGATTTTGGCTTGGAGGCCGATGTTCTGCGGTGTTAGTGGGTAGGGATGGGAGGGGTGGTTGGGCTTACCAAGACGATTAGTTCGACTAAACCTTTGCAGCTCATCAGTGAGCCGATGGTGAAGGCTTCGCGCCACAGCAGGCCGTTCGCACGCGCGGCAAGGGCGGCGCCAATGAACTTTGCGAAGAAGGCGACGGCTATGATGCCAATGACGTAGCCCCAGACCAGGCCAGAATCGAGCAACCCCAGATTCGTGCTGAGCCCCGAGAGAGCAAAGTAAAGCGGCAGAAACAAGGCGCTGACCAGATCCTCGACTTTCTCCGCGACCTTGATGGCAAATCCGCCGTCATGAGGACAGATGATACCGGCCATGAAGGCGCCAAAAATGGCGTGGATACCGATAGCTCCGGTGAAGAAGGAGCAGCTGAGCGCGAGCAGGAGCGTGAGCGCAATGATACTTTGGCTTGGGCCGTCTTCAATGGCGCGGGATCTGCGGAGGATGATCAGGAAAGCGGGTCGGACCGCGTAGACGAGGAAGAGGACGAATCCGACGGCTGTGAGAAGAACCCAGAGTGCTGTGAGACCGGTGCCGGCGTTGACGAGCGCCACGCAGAGCGCGAGGAGGATCCAGCCTGAACAATTAGCGTGGCCGTGAGGTAGAGGCGGATTACTAACCGACGACATCGTTACCGACACCAGCGGAAAGCACGATGACTCCAACAGGGGTTACGAGGAGCTTGAGCTCGACCAAGATTCTGCAAAGAACCGGAAAAGCCTGTACTTGTCAGTTGGTGCTAATGTCCTTCTGTGGCGGTAGACTCACTGTAATCGCCATGGCCACACCGACGAACAGCATGTACACGCCAAAGCTAATCGGAACCGTCCCTTCTTCATGCCGGAAATCGTTGTACAGCCCCCACGCGATGGCACATCCCAGCCCAAAGGGCAAGACCATACCAGCAATACCAACACTTGCAGCAACACGCCAATTGCTAACGAGGAAGCGGAGATCAACCTCGAGGCCAACTAGGAACAAGAATAGAACGAGACCCAAATTGGCCACGAGCGAGAGGTTCGGCATGGCAGCACTCGGGAAGATGGTGTTAGTGAAGCCGGGAATGCGACCCATGACAGACGGGCCGAGCAGAACGCCGCCGATGACCTCGGCGATCACCCGAGGCTGGCGCAGCTTGGAAAGCGGATAGTGCAGTAGACGGCAGAAGATGATGATGATGCCAGCCTGGGGAGTCAGGATTGATTGGGTCATATTGCATGCAGCGCTTACCTGAATGATGAAGAGAATGATTGGGTTCTTCGGATCATAAACGGCTGGGTTGCCATGTTCGAGGATGCCACCCTGCGGCGGAGCACGATGCGCAGCAGCGCTGGAGATTGCCTTTGCGGTAACAGTTTTCGTGACGATGTCATGCACTGTCGTGGTTATTAGAGACGCCATGGATCAGCCTGGCAGACCAGCGATCCGGTTGATCGGCTTGAATGGTAGGGCTGGATGTAGGGAAGTGAAAAGGTCAATGGAAAGCAAGCGGAGGTCAGGATGCGATGCGAGGGGCGGGGACATGAAGAAGTAGGCAGAGAGCTGGGGCCAGAGAAAGACTGCTTCTCGTGCTGCATGCTGGGCTTCTAACACCCAAGATACGCATGGCGGAGATATTACGCCGCAATTGGCTGTTTGCAGGCGAATAGTGGGGATGTCAGCCGCCCCAAGGGCGTAGGATTAGGTGTGTCGGGAGCAGCGATGGAGGTAGCCTTTGTTACTGGTCAATATCTGCTTAATACGGGATGGGACGCATTCCGGGGGGTGCATTGTTCGCGGGAGAGACGCGCGATGCCATGTTATTGAAAGGCGAGGGAACTTGCGAAGCGTACGAGCCGAAGAGCGTTTCTGCGAAGCCTCACGGCAGTGTGGGGAATATTCAGATCGCCATATTCGTTGATCAATTTCCCAGGCAGGAGAGTATCCGTGGAGGAACTCAAGGGCGACACTCACCACCAGCCCGCAAAGCAGGATACATGAGAGTAGGCAAGGGTAAAGGTAAGAAACGCTAGCGCTATTTGCTCTGGCCGTACTTTGCAAAATGCGCTAAATTTTAGTCTGGTTGAGGTGCAGTAGTCTGCTTTTCCTGCATGAGGCGCTCGTTTAAGAGCCAGTAGAAGCGCGGAAAGCGGCCAGCCTCGGGGGGCCAGACCTTAGCCTCTGCATCTCACATCCCGCTTGTCTCCCAACTGCTGTTTATTCCGGTGCTGGGGTAATGCCCGCTTCCAGCATGCTCAAACCTGCTGACGGTAGGCGAGCCCTCTCACCCCCCTCGCCGCACATGGGAGAAGGCGGGAGACCGTGTGATCCCTCGGGCACAACCAGAATGCTATCAAGTGAGAAGGCGAAGGCGGCGAAGGCGACGGAGGAGGCCGATGTTGAGCGAACACGGCGGTTCAAGTGCCCTAGGCAACATGCGTGGTGTGGCCGTGTAATGCTGAATTTTCCCCACTACAATTCGGCATTTTGGAGACGGGGACAGGTGGGAGAAGGATATGGGCGATGGTATGTCGTCTCGAGGGTAGCATCGGTAGGACGAGCAGGGTTGGTGGAGCTGACGGCGCTAGCGTTGACCGCTCTACTTCCTGCATCTCGCATGTACAAGGACGCCACTTTGCCCGCGGTCGAGGACCACGTGCCGGTCTTTTTAAAGAAGGGAAGACATCGGAGAAGACCTGAAAGGCGTATCATGCGACGCTAGGGCGAGAGGAAGATAAGACGCAGAATGCTCGTGAAATATTCAACGGTGGAAAATTCGTTCTCCGGAGCGTTCAGACGATGTTGTTGATGCTGCAAACCCACTCGATGTCCAGCTGCCTCAGTTCATCCTGTATTTGCTTTTTTAAAAATAAAGTTGGGATATGTTTTAAAATTCAGCAAAAGCTTCCATCAAATCGGCAAGGTGACCGAGCGGTTAAGGTGATAGTCTCAAGCGCCAAGCTTGGCTGTACAAACAGCTGTGATCTATTGGGGAAACCCGCGTGAGTTCGAATCTCACCCTTGTCAACAACATTTTTGCCCGTTGCGAAGAGGCCAGCCGGCCTCTCGCCTTCGGTTTTTTGGCATATGCTGTGGGTGCGGCCTGGGCGGCTCTGCTGAACGAGGAGTACCGAAGGCTGAATCTCTCGCCGGGACACTGGGAGGTCGCGAGGCTGCAGTCTCATACGGCTATGGACGGGGAAGGCCTCCTATGGATGTTCCTCATGCAAGGCTGGATCCATGTTAGGTGATGTCGCCACCCAGATCTCGAGCAGGATGGGTATGGAATTGGAGATATCAGCGTGCCACTCAGACTAGGCTCCTCAGTTCCTTCTGATTTTGTTCGAACGAAAACTACTCCGTATCCCATCAAGGTGAAGCCTTCCCCGTACAACACACACCAACTACAATGGAATCGCTTCCCCGATACGCAATGACATAGACCCGACCATTTCATATTCCATCTGCTGATGCAAAATATACCACATAGGACGAGGCCAAAAGGTAGTGATACCTTCCATTGCCCATGTGAAAGAAGAACCGCTAACCTCACCCAAGGCTGAGGCCCTGCAAGCGATCCGTCAGAGGATATGCACGATCCTCGTCAAAGGCGTTGGCTGATACTGGCCGTCCACGCCAGCTCCCTGAATCGCAAGTCGCGTGCCCTTCGTCAGAAGCCTGTTTGCACATGTCAAGGTCCCGACACAATAGCTTAACTCAGGGGGAGAGCCAATCGAACTTGCGCCGGGCCGTTGAGACTACTACAGATACGAGAGCACTATCGCCATCGGCGGAGACCCCGCGTTCACCTTCCCCGCACAGGAAGGCGTGTCCGTGCCCCGCGAAACCCGCGGCCGATCGGTCTCGGCCCAGCAAGCGGCCCGTCAGCTCGCGGGAAACACGGCGCACAGGCCCGGGTTTCAGGCGCGGCGGGCGCGTCGGATGACGATATTTTTGGCAATGGTTTGACAATGACTTCGCCGCGCGCCTGCGGTTACGTTAGTCGCCAGTGTTCAGTTCAGTTCATGCGACGCAATCGGGTGGAACGCGGGGAGATGCGGTTTGCGTGCGCGATGTGTGCGACGGGGACAGTGGGATTGAGACCCCTGGCGGGAGATGCATCGCGGCTCTAGGGCGGCTGGCATCAGGGACATTCGCGCAAAACGCCAAGGGAACTGGTGAACCGCGGTTCCTGGTGAAGATTTGTTTCGCGAAACGGTTGTTCTCACAAACGTGAGGAATTGAAGCGATTGGGAAAAGCGAAAAAGGAGGAGATAGCCGGTCAAATTGTACTCCGTGGCAAGAACCTATCTCAATTGCAGTGCATGCCACCAAGCAACGGCGAGCCCAGTTTAAGATTGCGAGATGATAGGCACCGATACTGGGCCAGTGTGCGCCTATCGATGGCGCTGTCTGGAGCGTGGGTTGTGGTGGCTCGGGCAGGTTGGCGCGTGCTGGCGTGGGGAAGCGTGAAAGGAGCCACATCGCCACACCCGCGCGGCGTGTGGTGATTTGAGTCAATCACAACAGGGAGAGACAGTCCGGAGTTCGGAGAGGAGAGCTGAACACACAACGGGGCGGGAAGCACCGACATGGCATTTGTCGAGACCATCACAACGGGGGTGGAAGCTTGGCTCTGCATGAGATGAAGAAGCTTTCGCATGACGATTGAAAGACTGGAAGAGAAGGGGAATTGAAGAGACGATAATTTCGGAGGAGAGGATTTGAGCATGGTTGAGTCAGGGTTGCTGGCGATAGGAGACGGACTCAGGGCCTGGCGCGTGTCGTCCAAATAGACGTATTACCTTCATCTGTGCGCGACCGCCGGAGATCAGAGCGGCACCAGTTGCCCAGTGCGATAAAGTGGAGAGGGAGAGACAAATGACGACTTTTGATGAGGTTCTGGAATAATTCGCATCTGGTCTGTCTTGTCCCAGGAATCAATCTGCTGTGATATGCGACTTCCCGGACTGCGCAGTACGTGATAACTGGTTCGCTGCAAGCGCCTTTTTGAAGCAATTTCATGGGCAAAGGGGAAATGGTCCGTCGTGGTTGGAGGGGCGAGAAGGAAGACCAGGGGGAGGGGTGGGGTTGGATGAAGTTGACTGGCGACTGGCCCAGGGACGATCGAACAAACGACAACAGGGGGAGATGCACAAGGGGATAGCAACACCAATCAAGGGCATCGCGACGACAAGAACATCTTGAGTTTGTAACTCGCCTTTCCATTTCCCTCACAGATTCACAGCTCACAACGAGCCATCAATCAGGTCGAGATACTTGCTCTCCACGTACCTAAACGCCTTTTTGTCTTCCATGTGTCAAGCCACCATCCTTTCGTCCAATTGGTCGCGTGATTAGCATTCAGCATGATGAGCGCCCCGTCGGCAGGCCAACCACACTGCCTCCACCTCAAACTCCCCCCCAGTGTGGCTGGCGCCCCGGCCAACCTCAACTCTAGCACTCGGCCGCGCGGGAAATGAGATGTCGGCAAGCAAACGGTAATGCTGCGCCTACGACGACAAGCGTCGACACTCCGAACCCCCATGTCCAAATGGCCCATCCACATATCCCACCCTCATGGATCATGGCGGATCGTGGCAGACGTACCTCCTTTGGGCTCCTTTGGCTCCTTTGTGTGCGCTTGCCCTTCATCTCATTTCCCGCCCACCAGGCTAGCCATACCCGTTGTAGTACTAGCAAGAAAATATGTCCTCCTCTCTGAACTGGGCTCTCTCCGCCGTTGGCCATGCGTGCATAAGACTTACACCCTGCTCCATCGTGAATCCGCGCTCTTTCTTCTCTCACTCTCTCTCCACCTTGTCTGATATCGCTTTGTTAGGGAACATACCCAAGTCACTCTTTGAAAGAAACAAGCGCCCCCCCCCCGCACTGCTGGACACGACTTAAGCCGGATCTTCCGTCCATTTCCTTTTTGCTCCAACTTCAAGTCACTCATTTATCAATTTTTGCGCAAACATGCTGTCCAAAACGCTCTTTATCAGTGCTCTTTTCTTCGCCTCTGCGCTCGGGTCTTCGCTCAATGAGCGCCATGCCGACGCTCACGGCCTCGCCAAGCGCGACGAGAAGTTTGTGCCCACGACGCACACTGCTCAGGGCGATACCTGCGCGGAGGCCTTTGGCACCGGTTACATAACCTGTTAGTCGCATATTCCCCCCGAGTCCCCGGTCGCATAACTAATATCAATCCTTAGGCCGCGAAATCACCCCCAGCCGCAACCGTCTCTGCTACAACCCAGACCTGGGCCAGACGTGCTGCGAGAGCGAGTGGGCCTGCCCGTCCGGCTCCTTCTGCTTCCTGTCGCCGTTCTGCTGCCCCGAGGTTCGTATCCCCCATCCCATCATATGTGCCCTCGCTAACCCCTATCCAGGGCCAGGACCCCAAGACCTGCGCCGCCAACAACGGCTTCTCGCTCACGAACAGCTTCAAGGCGCCGCTCGCCACCGGCAAGGCTGTCTCCGGCAACAAGACCGCGTCCGTCACCAAGGTGTATAACACCAACGACACGGCTGCCTACGCGCCCACCGCCACGGGCACCTACGCTGCCCCCACGCCGACGAAGTCGACTTTCACCGGTGCGGCCGATCCTATGGCTAGGGTGGGCTATGGCGCTGCAGCGCTTGTCGGCGTTGCGGGCGTCATGGGGTTGATGTAAGCGTCCTGGGGAGGACGCTGGGGTTGGGGGCCGAGGGTGATGTGTTATGAGGGATGATGGTGGGATAGGGGGGGTGGTTACGATGGGGACGGGGTTTGGGGGGGGGGGGGGGGGATGACAGCAGGAGCTGGGACGATGGGGACGGGATGGGGTCGGGATCATGGCCGCTTCGCCGGGGACGAGGGAGGGCCGGAGCCCAGGCGGCTTTTTCGCGAAAGTGGGTGTCGCGGCGCGTGCGCGCGACGGGGAGCGTTTGCACTTGTGCGGACGTGGTGGGGGTGAGGAGGGGTGCTGGTCATGGCGGACCTGGATTCTTGTCTGCATGCTGGCCGCCCCGAGGAAGAGCAACGACACCGGCCCACCGAACACACAAACCTTGAGACAACTTCGCTTCTTCTACCAACATCCGCTTTGTGGCTTTATCTTTCGCTTGCTTTGTTCCCCTCTCAGCGAGTCTTTCTCCATCCGGGGATGATGGAGGAGGGGGAGAGAGGGAGTACCCTGCGCCGGTTCCCGAGGACTTTTAGGTGCACCGGGTTCGGGTGCCGGGTGTCTCGCTTTCGCTTTCTTATAAACCGCGTCGATGTTCCAGCAGCCTTTTCCTTGTCAAGATCCGGGGGGCGTTTTGTGTTTCTCTCGTCTGGGGTGTTTGAACGAATTGATGTCACCATGAAAGGAAAGGAAGAGCCGATGTCATCGATATCCCCCCCCCCCCAAACTTTTGCCTCCCCCCTTACTACATGGGCGCATTGCTGTAAATTCTAGTGTCTAATTGTACTCTGCTGGACTCGACGATTCGGAGGACGATTAGGACAAACGGGGAACCTGCTGCATGCGATTGCGGGTGTGGGCGCGCGTTCTTTTTCTTTTTTATGGTCGTCCTTGTCTTCTATGCTCTGATACCCAAGCCGGCTCGACGCTCCTTCCGGCGGAGCGGAACAAGAGACTCGGAGGACGCTTTTGTCGATTGTGTGAGGTGGGGGGCGGCAGGGAGGCAAATTTCGATTCGCAATTTCGTCCGTGGCAAGTGTATTCCTCGGTCCCGAAGCCGTTGTCCCATCGGGATGCCGAGTTTGTTCTTGTACATGTCGAATCCTAGCTCCGGTGTTCCATATCCGGGAAGGCGGGGAGATATCGCTCCTCATCCTCGTAGTCATCCTACAGTACCCAGTAAACAACCCCCCATGCTGAAATGCCGACGCGGGCATAAAATTGTTCGTTGCATCGTGACATCGCGCGTTGTCGTTGTCCAGGTGACCTCCCGAACATCGGCGCCAAACTTTCGGCACGGAGAACGACCTAACGCACAGTGCCCCACATCTCCTCAGCCGATATTCAACCGCGCTCATC